TTTGTAGTATTCTAATGAAGAAAGGAGGTTTCTGATTGATTGAGAAACCGCTATAAGCTGGTTAAAAATGCCATGTCCATTTTTGCATTGGACTTGTTTTACGTAGAAGGATGCTATATACAACTCATGTCCAAGAATGATGGCTTGTCGGCCAATTTGATTATTCGTCTTCGTCTGCTACCTCGATTTTCTTAATCATGTCTCCTCCCGCTCGCGCAATTTCGAGAAGAATCGCCTTGCGGTTCACCTCGACTTGGTCGCCGTCGCCCTTGACGGAGTGGAAGTTATACGGCAGGCCTGCTCTGAACTTTTGCTTCTGCAGTCGAGGGTTCCAAAGGGCGGCCACCACGCCGTCATCTGCGCTGCCCTTGAAAAACAGCAGCGTGTCTTCATATACACGCTCAAGCTCCTCGAGAAAGACGTTTGTTGGGTGAGCGCGGATGGGCAGCGGGACGGATGCCGTCAGGGCATCGAGGTTCTTGAACTGAGACTGCTTTCTTCCGCCGGACTCGACGGCCGTTTCGCGGACGATGGATTTGACGGACTTGGAGGACAAGTGGAATAGGACGTCGTAGTCCTGGAGGGCGGCCTCGAACAGCAGAGACGGGTCGAGGCGGATGCCCTTTTCTCGGACGAGCTTGCAGGCTGCCTTTGCGAGATGTGTCATGCGGGAGGCGACCAGCTTTGAAGGTCCGTTGCGGGTGTATGCGAGGCCGGATTGGTCGTGGGAGGTGGCTACGCACATGACCTTGTCGTTCATGTTGGGGTCTCGCTTCCTCCAGGTTTGGAGCTCGTGATGCAGGGAAGAGCGGTCGTCTTCGGAGAGATCCTCTCCGGTGTCAATGATCAAGGCTTCGTCGCGCCAGTCCCATTTTGAAAGGAAGAAGAGCGTTCGTAGCAGGCCTGTGACAACGGATGATGGCTGCTTCCAGGGGTAGGGCTGGAGGAAGGCGTGAAGGACGAAGAGCTCGATGAGCTCTTCGCGGATGTGGCCGGTCAGCTTGTGGCAGTTGAACCAATGCTTGACTAGTCGGATGGTTGACGAGAGGGGCGGGAAGCGAGTGCAGAATGTTGCAATAGTCTGAGTGTGCAGCGGGAGAGTGTTGTACAACCAGTTGAGCTTCACGAAAGCTTCCTCGGCTTCTTCGCGGACACGAGGCTCGAGCGTCTTGTTCTTGACTTGCCGTTCGAGGAGCTTCTCTTCCAAGTCGCAGTGTATCCTCAGCCGGTATGCCGCCCCGTTCTCATAGATGATGTCGAGGAAGGCCAAGTTCTCGATGCCGAGTTCCTTGTTCTCGCGGCCCAAGTATGTGCTGATCTTGTCATTCGCCTTTCTCAATCTCCTGTCAATGTCGAGAAGGAACTCGACTTTTGCCTCTTGGATGGCTGTGAGATTCTCGGGCCACTTGCTTGATGCTTCGAAGTAGAGGTTCACGTCCATGAGTTCGATGGATCCCTTATGGTAACCCACCAACGGCGGCTCGATGGACGCATAGCGCGCGGACGAGGACGTAGGGGACAGCTGTCTGATGTGCAATGGCAATTCTTCGAGGTTGCGAATATCTCTTTCAAAGTCTTGGAATGCCTGTCGGGCTGAATCAAAGGCCGACTTGTCCAGATGTGAAAGGCTAATGATTGAGGAAAAGGCACCGCCGATAGTTGTCACTTGATGTTTTGAAATCTTCAAATGCCGCTGGAGAGTGTAATGGGTAATCTCCTCGCAGATCTGCAAAGGGAGCTTACTGGACCATTCGACACACTCCAGAATGCTGCCGTCTTTGAATCGTCGCAATTCAGCCTTGTCACCCCAAAATTGTCGGAATTTTGCGGCTTCCTTTTGCTCTTCGGCGGGAGGACCAAACTCCATCTGTCTCGGCATGTGGGCTGCATCAAATATGACGCCAATAAGGACACGCAGGACTTCTTTAGCGGGAGGTTTGGAGAGTGACCAGTGTCCCCTCTGAGGTAACTGGAATTGTACAAGTTGTGCTCGGTCCCCATACGCCCGCTTGAGATGTTTGTACGCTTCGAGACAGAAGTTGGCCACGACACCCCGGCGGTCAGCAGTTTCAGAGAATTTTGCTACATCGGAGCTCTGGATCTCGAAAATGACATCAAATGTTTGAAACGGAACATCGGCCTTGATGATAAAGGTGGGATCGAATTTGTCGGCCATGACATCGGCGAGGAGATCAGTAGTTGACCTTGCGTAGGTCTGCAGCAAGGTAGCCGACCATGGAGTCATCTTGAACAAGAGGTTGAGCTGTCTGACAGGGTCAAACATGACAGGGCCCGCCTCTCGAACAGTATCCACGGAAACGCTGGAAGAACCAAAGGTGTACGGCTTCTTGCTGAGATCAGTTGCAGATAAAAACTGAAGAGCTGACTTGAAAAGTTCGGTGCTACTCAACGAGGTCGATAGAGCTGCTTGCCCGTTTCTACCGCCTGTCTGCAAAAGCAAGGCAATCATGGCCGCCCATTCGAAATGGCCGAAGCCTCCCTGAGAGATGGCGCTGCCAAAGCCACGCTGCTGAAGCCACGTCCTGCCGAGGATGCAAGCATCTGGGAAAGCAGGGCATTCCTTTTTGATATGGGTGAGTAGTCGTAGGTAAGGAATAAAAGTCCGCTCGGCATTCAGAGTGGAGTTGTAAAACGGTGTTGCAGTTTGAGTGGCCTTCTTTTCGTCCACCTCGCCCAATCGGTTGTTGTTCGACTTTGGCGTCACTTTGGACCAAGGGAATAGGTCATCAGGAGCACAAGGAATAAGTTTGATGGTATAAGATGACTTCTTAACCTTCCTCTTAGTCTCTCGCTCATCACTTCCATCGCTCGAGGCTTTTGGTCGGAGGACGACAATCGGCAGCAGAGGGTTCTCGTTCAGGTTCTCAAAGCTCAGTTCCATATCCTCGGCAAACCCCTTGCGCACACGAGCGGCAATATACGAAATGTAGTAGGCTCGGCGGTAGAAGTATCGCATGTTTGTGTAGTCCTTCTCCTGGAATAACGTGGCGGGCATTTGGATGACCATGTCGATTCCAAATTCGGACTGCGTCTTGATCATGGTTCGAGAAACATAGCTTCCAACAACGTTGCATTGTGACGGAGGTGCATAAGAAACCTTGTACGGCGCGTCCTTTGCTGGTTTTGGTTCGGGAAACGGAATAACGATGCGATGCTCTTTTTCGAACTTGATGGTAGCCTCGGAAATCTGGTTCATGTTAGGACTTCTTGATAGCTCTCTACTTGTGGAGCTGAGCTTGTGTGAAACTCACAGGCTTAGGATCATGAGGCTCAATTGAGTCGATTATGCTTTTAAGTCGGTGCAATTGGCCATCGACGCCATGGAGTGCCTTTTCGTAGTTGGGTTTGGCCTCCTTCAGCAGCTCATCCGTCTGCAGGACAAACGTGCTCGCAGCATTGACGCGGGCCGTGTTTCGCGACTCAAAGTCGATAAGACCAGAGTGGCGGATTCCGATGCCCTCATGGCCAATCTTGCGGCGCTTCGAGCTCGATTCCATGGTGTCACTCGGCATCTCGTGCACCGTGGCTTGGTGTAGGTAAGCTTGGTGTTGAGCGCATGTCGCATGGGAATTTTTTTTTTTTTTTGCTTGAGACTGAGAGTCGCGGGGCGATAAGCTCGCTGATAAGACCTCGATTCCATAACAGTTCTAGCGTGACTGGAGGAAGTGTAGGTGATTTAAGTACCACTGCAACCACTTCAATTCTTACTTATACAGGATGACACTTATGAAGTCGATGAAGGAGACGATAATCTACATTGAGTGAATAGTGGTGATGACAGTACAATCCTTTCTAGGGGTTCGAATCATCATTTTTGTTCGAGACGCTCATGCTTCTCTGTGACGAGTATTGATAATCTAAAGTACATGTACGGAATCTTACTCAGTTCTTATGAGCAAACTCACTGAAGGAGATGCCTTTTGGGACCATTCAAAGCCAAGCATGTTCGAGCATAGATGGAAAATATCCGTCGCGTAAAAGGAAGAAAAGACGAAGACACAACCCGGCATTAAGGCGATAGTCTCTACAACTAGCATGGAGCCAGGCGTTGGTGGCTTGTGAATAATTAAGTAGGCTTACATATCCACCACGACTTACACACGCAGGACGCCTTTGAGAATTCAGGCGCAAACTTACCAGAAGCTGCATTTCTTACAGAGAAGCAACTAATGCCGGCTAGTCTAACGGGGGTTCTATTTTCTGCAGCAGGTAAACGCTGAGATCTTGGAACGATTGCAGCCCCCTGTGTCCGATCTATGCTTCGGTACAAACCTTAACCGCCGATGACTCCCAGCCGCCGTCCTGCCATAGTCTCTTTCTTGCCAACTATTGTCCACTTTTTGATACACGGATATAAGGGCACTCGGCTTAGTTACCATTAAAGTAAGTGGAGACGGAGGAAGTTGCATAGCGCGCTTTACAAAGCCTCGAAGCTCGCCTTGGTTGCCTATTGCTTCTCCTCAGCTGGCATGGGGATCCGTAAATTCTTAGCTTCATTCCAGAAACTACCTTGGCAACAGGTCTCCACTATGGAAATCCCTTATAGATTGAATTCCGTTAAAGGTGCTGACTGGTGACATCAGTTGATAGATTTTGATATAATAAATTTGTCTTTAGAAAAGGCGGCGGGAGTTTAGACGTGGAAAGCTCCGTTGGACCTATAACGCCTCAGACCATAGCGACGGATGAAGTTACCAACTTTGCGACTTTGGAGGTTCTTGAACTAGGTGCTGATATCATTGAGAGGTCAATGATTTCAATCTCCTCGCGCTAATTGCCATGATCCTGATAGACCACTCCTAATGATCTCGGTATAGTTGCTGAAAAATCCTTAAAATGGAGAACACAAGAGAGAGCATAGGCCTCAGAACGGGGGAGATAAATACCACAAGATCCCCTCTGATCCCTTCAACCAATTCCATCACCATCACAATTCACTCGACCTATTCAAACGTTTACTTGACAGCTTAAACATCAAAATGCCTTTCGGACGCACCGTTCTCCTCAACACCGGCCACAAGTTCCCAACTTTGGGTTATGGCACCTGGCAGTCCGCCCCTGGTGTCGTTGGCCAAGGTGTTTATGAGGCCCTCAAGATCGGCTATAGACATCTTGATCTCGCCAAGATTTACGAGAACCAAGTCGAGGTCGGAAAGGGAATCAAGAAGGCTCTTGCGGAAATCCCTGGCTTGAAGCGTGAGGACATCTTCATTACTAGCAAGCTGTGGAACAACAGCCATCGGCCGCAAGACGTCGAGCCTGCTCTTGATGACACTCTTCAAGAGCTGGGGCTTGATTATCTTGATGTAAGTGCCTATTATACAGTTAAATAGGGCAATTGATATAGTAGGGCTGCATCTAACTCTTGACAATCATAGCTCTACCTCGTCCACTGGCCAGTTGCCTTTGCCCCAGGCAAGGAACTCATTCCCAGATCTCCAGGAAGCGGCGTAATCCTTCTTGACAATGGAGTCTCAATTTGCCAGACGTGGAAGGGTAGGTGTAGAAATCTCAAATAAGACTCTGGTAGGGTGAGACGTTTGACTGACACCCGTTTGTGGTATAGCCATGACCCAGCTACCTAAGAGCAAGGTTCGCTCAGTTGGTGTCTCAAACTTTGCAATCGAGCACGTAAGTTGATCTCTCATATCAAAGTTTTGCCTCAATCACTCACATAATCGTTTCCGTTCTAGTTGGAGGTAATCATCAACGACTCGGGCATTGTTCCTGCTGTCAACCAAATTGAGCGACACCCTCGTATTCCCAACCCTCCTCTAATCAACTACTGCAAAGAGAAGGGCGTTGTCATCACAGCTTACTCTGCATTTGGAAACAATTCCTTTGGCCTGCCGTTGCTCGTCAACGTCCCAGAGGTCAAGGCAATCGCAGAGCGTCTCTCCCAGGCCCAGGGCAAGACCATCACTCCCGCACAAGTCATTCTCGCTTGGTCTCAGCTCAACGCCGTCATCCCCAAATCGGTCACGCCGGAGCGTATCTTGGAGAATTTCCAGGAAGTCGGACTTGATGACCAAGCTATCCGAGATCTCAACAAGTTCGGCGAAAACCCGCAGCGACTCAACCTTCCCGGATGCGAATGTAAGTGGAGCATTAGTCCTACCCAGACCCCCGTATAGACGCAAAGGATTGAATCCTCGGGGTAATGCAAAGCACTGACCTGCTAAAAACAGGGAATATCAATATTTTCGGAGATGAGAAGGAAAAGAATACCACGAATCAGGTCGTCGTAAACGCGTAAAGACGATCTTCGGAGAATGTGGTGCAGTGAGACAGATCAACGTCAGGGTCCTTCTGGGTCTTTTAGGAAATAGCAGTGCAGCAAGCTAAATCAACTGTCCAATTACAACAAGCCACATTCAAGTTGTCCGGTGAATGACTCTGCGGTCGATTGTCAATAACCTGAACGATGAAGCTAAAGAACCAAGCGGCGCGGAAGTCCGCCATCCCCCGCCCCATGGCACCCCATGGCACTTATGTGAATGATGGGTATAGCGACAAAATATTAGACACAGCAGAAGCCAAGATGAGCGGCTCACTCTGTGTGTGTTTTATTGTCCACCTTAGCAAAGTGCACGATTCACCTTAACAAAGTGCACCATTTCTCCAACATGGCGCAGTCCGCTTGTGCAGTTTACAATGAAACCTTGTGAAAATAGAGTAGCAACTGGATCAGTAATCGGATCAGCAATTCGGTCAGCGGCGCTCTCGATGCTCCGGTCGTACTTGGCAAAAGCTTGTAATGAGACTCGGGCTTGGCCGTTGGCCGAGGCCCGCGGACAAGTATATATACTGAGAGATTGTCCCTGGCAGAAATGTACAGCAAGATCAGATTCAAACGACACTTCTCTTCTTTGCAAACCATCAACGTAGCCATAAACAACAAGTCATAATGGCCATTGACCACACCTCCATCTCAGTCCCCGAGGACAAATTCAAGGAATGCGTGGCGCTTTACGCCAAGGCCCTCGAACCACTTGGATACGAAATCGCCTATCAGTTTGGGGAGTACATTGTTGGATTTGGTTCGAAGCTCGACGCCCAAGAAGGGTACAAAGCCGCCGACTTTTGGGCAAAAGGATCCAAGGAGGTGGCCAAGGAGGGACCCAAGGCGCATATTGCGTTCCGCACTTCAGGTAAGAGTCCATGCTCGACCGAGAGATGTCGGTGTGTTATTGACATAGCTTCAATAGACCGAGCTGCGGTAGACGCGTTCCACGCCGCAGGGATTTCGGCTGGAGGGCAAGATAACGGAGCACCCGGCGTGCGAGCGCACTATCATGCCAACTACTATGCTGCCTTTGTGTTGGATGCAGCGGGCAACAACATTGAAGTTGTGTGCCACAACCCATAGGACGGGTCTAGCCGTTGAATTTGGATTCGCATTCGGGGAGCGATTTTGGTTAGGACTCAATTGCCAGCAATGTTGAGGCTTTGAAATTCGTTGGGCGTTGGAGCAAAAACATCATCGGGTATGAAGGTTTTGGATGAGCTGTATGCAATCCGGGTATCTGCTTTAGTAGTCATGCGCCAGGTGACGCTTCATAGTCAGTCTCGGTAGTTTCAACCATGTAATCTGATTTCATGTTAGTACCTAGTGACAAAACATTCCAAGTGCACCAAGGTCATATCCTTCAAACGATGTAGCAAAGAGGTAGGTGAGTAGCCTGGACTAGTGTTGACCGCGGGTTCTTCGTACCCAAGAAGCCGTCTCTGAGTAACCGAGATGATTTTACCGAAGATACTACAATCATTATTCGAGTTTGATGTTCTCAGATGCGAGTTTAGCCATGCAGTACGGAGAATTAATGGTAGCGCAACCGGCAAGTCATGGCAAGTTATGGCAAATTCCCCCAAATTGGCCGAGGGTAGAGGGGAGTTAGGGGATGTCTTTCGGAATCGGGGTCCCATTGCCGAAGCCCGCATAGAATCCATAGGTCTGCAAAACCACGAGAAGATGCACATGTGATGAGATGGTTATATGAAGATGTCAAGAATAGGATAATGTTAAGCAACTTGATCATGAATAGTTCAAAATGCAGAATGAATCGTTTCAAGGCAGGTGCAGGGATTGACCCCAACACGTGACTCAAGCATGGCCAAGATATCTTGTATCATGTATCATGTATCACCGCCATCATCGGACGTCTTCAATTACATGATCCCATTTACACGTATATTGTAAGTGCCCCGTAATCATTGCAAATTGCAAACTCCCCGCCAGCGCTGCCGGATGAATCTTTTCTCGCGGATAGTCCCACGGAAAGACTTTCCGGGAAAAGACATTTCCCACTCCGCAAGTGCCGCCAGCCCCAACAAATTGCCAGTGCCTGACTTCGGCTTCGGAAGCCGGGTGGAACAGTTAGTTGGAGCGACGGTGTGGACAACTCTCTCTTGGGGCCACGCATTGGCTTCTGACGCCGTCAACGGAGCGACTCCAACAGGCTCTTACGAAAAAAAATACGCGGCCGTGAGAAGATACAGCCGCTCGCACCGCTGGCAGACTCGGAGCCGGTGCTTTTGATCAACAATACTGCCTGGATTTGCCCTGTCAGCGCCTCCATTATGAGCATCTACACATGGACGGCAGTATTTCAGAACATGACCAATATTCAGCTAAGCCGTCAAATGTTTGTCAGCATATGATAAAAAGAAAAAAAGAGAGAGAAAACTTGCTGCTGCATTCCGTAAACTACGGAATCACCCTCCGTAGTGCCATGTTACCGCCATCAAACAATCCATTCTGATGGCTTCTTCCCCCACAGCCGCCCGCCGCCCCTATCCGATCCTTGCAACGGAACTGTCCCGCTATTCTGCCCTGAATCCAGCTTCTCCTCACTTGCACTACCCGAATTGTTCTGGCGGCCATGCGGAGACCGGGTCTGCGGTGGTGGGTTCGGTCATTGACGGCTATTGCACCGGCAAAATCATCAAACACTCGACGGCCATACATAACGCGCGTGATGCCGTCACTGGCATCTGACAGTGCCCCAAAACTCTTGTTTCTTTTTTTTTCTTAATTCCTTTTGCGCATTTACTATTCAACACATCTTTGCCTCATTTTCTCGTGGCAGAGCAATTGTCGATTATTGCAGTTCTTGATACCCCGCAACGCGACCCAAGAAACATCTCTCACCTCTGCCCCTCCAACAATGCCATCCACAGCTCTGCGCCTGCGGACCCTCGGGGCCTTTGCGCGCCATGCGACAAACGTAAGTCTAAGAACTCTAATCAATGATGGAAATCTCACGGAAATTAAAAGTCAATGGTCGACTAACATCTCCATGTCGCAGCCCACCGCCGTCTTGTCCAGGTCATTTTCTGCCACCGCCCGCCGAGCTGAGATCAACAAGGTGCTGCCCTCTGCCACCGAGGCAATCAAGGACCTCAAGGCCAACTCGACTCTCCTGTGTGGTGGATTTGGTCTCTGCGGTGTCCCCGATACTCTGATTGACGAGGTCCTCAAGCGGCCCGATGTTACTGGTCTGACGGCTGTGTCAAACAATGCCGGCACCGATAGCTCCGGTCTGGGCAAGCTTCTCAAGACAAAGCAGGTGAAGAAGATGATTGCTAGCTACATTGGCGAAAACAAAACATTTGAAACAATGTACTTGACTGGAGAAGTCGAGCTGGAATTGACTCCCCAGGGCACACTGGCAGAGCGATGTGCGGCCGGTGGCAAGGGCATTCCTGCTTTCTACACTCCCGCAGCCTTTGGTACTGTCGTCCAGACCGGCGACCTGCCACTCAAGAACAAGCCCGACGGCTCACCGGATGTGTACTCTTACCCCAAGGACGTCAAGGTCTTCAACGGCAAGCCATACCTGCTTGAGGAGAGCATTGCTGGAGACTATGCCTTTGTCAAGGCTTACAAGGCCGACAAGCTCGGAAACTGCCAGTTCCGTCTCGCCGCCAACAACTTCAACGGTGCCATGGGTCGCAATGCCAAGATCACCATTGTCGAAGCTGAACACATTGTCGAGCCCGGCGAGATTCCTCCCGAGGCCATTCACCTGCCCGGTATCTACGTCAAGCGCGTTATCCAGAGCACAGCCGAAAAGAACATTGAGAAATATACCTGGGCCAAGGACGATGCTGATGCCGACTCCAAGGCCGTCCTAGGAACAGGCGAAACCGCGGCCAAGCGAGAGCGGATCGTGAAGCGAGCTGCCAAGGAATTCAAGAATGGCATGTATGCTAACCTGGGTATCGGCATGCCCATGCTTGCCCCCGGCTTTGTTGGTCCTGAGGTTGAGGTCCAGCTGCAGTCCGAGAACGGTATCCTTGGCCTTGGCCCCTACCCCAAGAAGGGCCTGGAAGACGCCGATTTGATCAATGCCGGAAAGGAGACGGTCACCCTTAAGCCTGGAGCCGCAGTCTTTGGCAGTGAAGAGAGTTTCGGCATGATTCGCAGCGGCAGAATCAACCTGACCATCCTCGGTGCCATGCAAGTCAGCGGAACTGGTGACCTGGCCAACTGGATGCTGCCAGGCAAGGTCAAGGGCTTCGGCGGTGCCATGGATCTTGTGAGCAACCCCAGTGCCACCAAGGTTGTGGTCACCATGGAGCATACCGACAAGAAGGGCAACCCCAAGATTGTCAAGCAGTGCGCATTCCCACTGACTGGCCGCGCGTGCGTTTCTCGAATCATTACTGAGCTGGTAAGTTGTCAATCATTGCCGCGGGGCTTCCTCATCTCCTTCTTTCCTAAGTTGCGAACCATCTGCTAACATTTTCTCTTATCAGGGTGTTTTCGACGTCGATTTTGCTCACGGCCTAACTCTGATCGAGATCGCGGACGGAGTGACGGTAGACGAGATCAAGAGCAAGACGGAGGCTCCGTTCAGAGTCGCCGATGACCTGAAGCCGATGCTATAGATGTTGGGATGAATAAACGGACAGACATGTAATATGGGAATATTTGATGTAACACCAAGGTATATACCAAAAATGGGCGGGTGGGTGCTCTCTGGGATGCTGCGTAAAAACAGAACTACCAGTGTCTGGGCACCATCACAGGCGTTTGGGGGCGAGATAGAATAGCGTTCTTTATCTGGGCTTATATCATTGAATCATCGAGGCATACAAAAAAAAATTATTATACTTGACGAAAAATTTTTTTACAACATCAAATATTTGCACCATCAGCGCTAGGGTTTGGTTTGCAGCTCTTTGATATGTGATTTAGGAGGATCGTTGGACACCAGAGAGCACTGCCCGCCACTTACTTACGCCTTGCTGACATATCCCACCTTGAATCTCAACATTCACCGGGCACTCTTTTCGCAGCGCCACCCTCATACCTGAACTGCAACACCACAGGCGCCTCACAAGGCTTGGGCTGCTGGTTGCAAGGGTGACGTTTATGCTACATTTATCCCATCCCATTTCCCCCTCGTATACTCTATTCATCGATTTTGAATGAGTCTCGACTTGATGTCGCACCGCCATAGCCGTCTCTTCGCTCTCAGGTGGCTATGAACAATTACGACCCGTCAACCGGCCAAGTCTTTCGAGAATGGACAGTGTCCGGTCGACTCAACGCCAGCGTGAGCCATGACTGGTCGCGGCGGCGGCCGTATCCCCTGTTTAAAACCCGCGGCGCTCGAGGTCCGCGGTCTCTGATGGACATGGCGATTAATGTCATTGCTGATAACATTGGCGATGTATCCGAGGAGTTGCTGGGGTCCATGCCTACTCAGCTGGTCTGGCGCATCTGGCGCTTTTTGGAGGCAAGGTTCGTTGGTTTCATTACGATGCCTTATCTGGAATTTTCCGGTTGGGACTTTGGGAGCAACTGTCAAAGGAGTTACTGACGAGCTGGTTTTAGAGGTGTAAGCCTCCATGCTTGGAAACTCTTCTCGGCGATATTACTACGTGAGGACGACGAGAAGAGTCTTGGGCTTTATCGGTTTCGACAGCACATTTGTCATCCCGACATGGACCTTGAAAGCTACACCAGACCCCTCGCATCGCTGACGACGGATTTCATCACCCATCTTGTGCTCAGTGGCGGCTGCCACTTCCGGACATCTGAGCTGGTCCGCTTGGCAGACATGAAAAACCTAGGGGTGCTGGAGCTCATCCAACCCGCGGATGAGACGGGCGGCGACTATCCAGATGTGACCGACAACCTGATCCGCGGCTGGACTGAGGCGGAGAATCCCTTCCCCCTACTAAGAATCCTGAGGATCTGGGGTGACAGATCGACTTCAAAGAGCTCTTTACGCTGGGTGGCCAAGTTCCCTTCATTGGCGTTGTACGATGTCATGGGCGCAAAGAAAGGCTGGGATCCTCCACACAAAGAGGCAGCCGAAGCCGGCTGGGAAGTAACTGATCTCTCGGGTGGCCAGGAGAATTCTCTGCTACGCAACTTGATGCTCCTAGTCCCGGATGAGCACATCAACAAGACGCGAGACTCGATCCGAAGCGTCGATGCCGATTTGGTGACGCTCTGCAGCGACTCCCAGTGCGCAATCAAGTTCGTCGCAAATCGGGAGGCGCCTCCTCTGCTGGACTATCTCACAGACACAGGCAAGGTGTATCTGCCCTCGTGGGACCCAGATGCGGCGTCGAGACAGGCAGGGGCTTGTCACGGCATTGCGTTTGAGGCATGGGCCTTTTGGCTGTACTCGTTCCTTGGCCAGCTCAGCAACGACATGGACGTGGCGAGTCAAGGTCACCCAGTAGACCAACAAGCTGTAGCTGGTCCGTTTGTACTGCCTTCGAGGCCCATGGCTTGTGTATTTCTGGGCCACAGCGGGCGAGGAGGCATCACCTCGAAGCCGTCATATGTGAGTCGCGGCTTATTTTCAACAGGACGGTACATCTTCACTCGTCCGATGAATGCGAGCCGCTACACAAAAGAAGCGGCCAATGGCCGAGAGGAACAGGACGAGGCGAAAGCTAAGCAGGCTTTCGGAAATGGTTTTCGACCGTTATCCACCCGGTCATCGCAGAAGAGGAAGCAACTGCACGATGTTCTGCAGTCGCTTGCTGGGTAAAACGCCGAGAATCGAAATGGGGTAGATAATGGAACATTTCTCATGTTTTTACGATATACATGGCACTTTCACACGAGCCCTCCCGTCTAATATATAGAGATTGCACGCATGCCACTACGTTGAATCAGAAGGAAAAAGGAAAAAAAACAAGACGCGACTAGGTATGGTGATGTACCGCCGAAAAAATTTATCTCTCCCAAACGCAGCCTCCGAAGAGGGAGTATAGTAGGACAGGTGGTAAGTCAGCGGAAACGTTCATCTATCCTCCAGTTTCCCCTCCAGGCGCATCCAAAGGTTGTCGAAAGCCAGAGTGAATTTGAAGGAAGTTTTTCTAGTAGGTTTCACTGAAGAAAAGAAAAAGAAAAAAAAAGTAAAAAGAAAAAATCTCGGCTGGCGTATTATAGGGATTGGGGGGTGTGGGTGGAGTTTGGGGACGGAAAAACGTGGCTGCGGCAATGGAGTCAGGGCAGGTACTGTACTAGGTACCTGTACTTGTACTTGGAGATTACCGGCAGCCATGGGTTTGACTCTAAGCAAGTCATTTTGATCATGTTGCTGTGACTCACCAGTCTGCAAACTCCAATCTATGCACGTGATTTGTAGAATAATTTACGGATATGAATCAACCACCCAAAGGGCCCTGCTTCCTAATAAACATAATATGCGTAACTGTTTCTTCATGTGACTTCACCCAAGTGGTCTATGGCATAGTAAAGAGCGTAGTTTCAGGGCGATACTTGGAATAATTCAGTTGGCCAATCGCCTATCAGCTATTTCAATGCGGGAATGACACAGTACCTTGGCGTTACAACGCCGCACTGCAAATGGACCACGTCTGTGCCCTGAAAGTCGGACATCAAATGATCAGCTTATTGTGATGATGATGGTCATGACTGGAGACAAGGGGCAGTGAGTCATACAGCAGCACCTGCTATGACAGCTTGGGAAGGGGATCCTGCATTAAAGCAGCAGAACTTTTGGAGGCTCGCAGCATATCATGAGGAATTCAGCGGGCAAGGCTGAGCTGTACCTCCCAAGTACCTCCAAGTACCCCGCTACCCCGCCTGGCTGCCGCTGAACTGGCGACTCAGAGAGTTTGGCCGTAACTTTTCAACTGTGGATTGAATTTTCGTAATTTAATACTGTCGGGATTTTCCCATTTTCCTATTTAAGTCTTGCGCAGTCGCATAGCATCGCAAAGCCGGAGGTTGTACCGAAGCCATCTGCGGAATACCGACGCCTACTCTCGCTCTCACGCGCACACACAAACTCCCTCCCTCCCTGTTTCCATCTCGATTTCAAGATGCCCGGTGCTCCAGGAGCAAGCTCGCGCGGCCGTGGTGGCAAGTTCAGAAAGTTCACCAGAGGAGGTATGTATATCCAGACGTCCATAGGAATTGCCGATCGACAACGCAATGCATGGTATGGCGTTTTCACACGCTAACCCGGAACCTCACGAGAATAGGTGGCAAGCACTTCTCGCGCAATCTTCAACCTCTCGACTCCGAAGGCAATGCGGTGAGCATGTGGGGCGAGGACGCCAAGCGCAACGAGGACGAGGAAGATTCCGAAGAAGAATCTGAAGAGGAATCCGAAGAGGAGGAGGAGGCCGGCCAGGCCCCAGCTCAGGCCAGCGGCGAGGCCAACCGCGAGGACCGAAAAGCCCAAAAGAAGGCTCGAAAAGAGGCCGCCATAGCCAAGCAGAAGAGCCGCACAGTCGAGGTCGGCGATCTGCCTTCCTCAAGCGGCGAGGAGAGCGACACGGAACTGCCCGCCAACCCAAACCACTCTTCATCGGCCCGCAAGCAGGCGACCGAGGGCGCGGGTGTCGAGGCGATTACCAAGGGCGTCAAGAAGCTGCCCGCCAGTCGACGCGAGAGGGAAGCCGCCGAGGCCGCCGCCGCAAAGGAGAGATATATGAAGCTGCATGCCGAGGGCAAGACGGACGAGGCCAAGGCGGATATTGCCCGTCTCAAGGCCATCCGTGCACAGCGCGAGGCTGATGCTGCTAGGAGACAGGTAAGGCCCGCTATTGGATTCGTTTTCCCATCTTCTTTGTATCATATGTTAAATGCTGACCATTCCATCTCATTTAGGCTGAGCAGGAAGAGAAAGAAGAGCGGGAGAAGGAGCGGAGAGCTGAGATTGAAGCCAGAGAGGCCAAGCTGCGAGCACTTGCTGCTGGCCCAAGCAAGAAAACGAGCAAGAAGAAATAAAGTCCTTTTCAGCTTGGATTTCTGCGGAGTAAACTGGTCACTAGATTCAATAATATACCGTTCAAAAAACTTGAAATATTGTGTAGTTGGGCTCATAACTGGGTGCTTAGAGCTGCCTTGCCTACTAAACATACAATTGTTGTAATGGTTTCAGTTATTTCCAACAACCACTCTACCTTATAATAGCCATGATAGGTGATGCTCTCGTGACCCATGCTCGTGCTACTTTGTAGTACTTGGGAGCTTATACGATGGCTTAAGCGTAGTTTGTAGAATCATGCAGCCAGTAATTAATTATCTTTTTTCTCTCTCTATTTTTGCTTCTATAAATTCCATGATTTTGCAATTGCTCAACGGCCTTCATATTATTTTCAGTATTATCAAGACCCTTCTAGCAATCCGACGACCCTGGCTGTCAATTTTTCTGGCGCAGGCGCGTTTGCAGCGGTCCAAGCACTAAGAGGCTACCCCACAGCCAAAGTTCGCGGTACGGCAGAAAGGTGGAAAAAAAAATTGGACACCCCAAAAAAATTCAGGAAAATTCCCTAGCAAGGCCAGTGGCAGAAAAAAAAAAGCATCACCTCACGCCAACCGCCCAGCTATCACCTTGCAGTCTCTACATCATTGGCCGCGGATTCTCCAGCACCGACGGCAGGTATCGGATTATAGGCGCTTCCGTCCTTGTTAATTTCTTCTTTCCGTGTATATATACTGCCTTTTCGCGATACTGAAGCTGGGATGGCGGATTCATCACTGCAGGTTCGTTTGGAAGTCCTTTGTCCAGCCCCGCCAGGTGAAAATGCCTGCAAGGGGCTGGGAATCGAGCTGTAGGAACCATTAGCTGACATCGCTGGTTAGGATCGCCTGCGCGATCATGCCAAGGCGTTCGATGGCTTGCTGAGTCTGATTCCAGCCAAGATGTACTATGGCGAAGACACAAGCGTACGTTTACCGATTTGACCCTTGACCTTGCCGACCCAACCCTCTCAATCGGGCGGATAGCTGGATTTTATCCACATCCATAATGTGTGTGAGGCTATCAAGGCACTGGGGCTGACGCTGGTTGATGTGTAGGATCAATGGAAAAAGGAGAAGCAGACGAAGCAGGAGGCAGCAGCCGCTCGGCGAGCCAAGCTGGATCCCGATAGCGCCCTGAACCGCAATGCCAAAGAAGTCATGGATGAGCGAGCCAAGAGCAAGCGGAAGCTGCGGCAGATGGAGCAAGATGAGGATGAGAATGAGAATGAGAATGAAGAGGAAGACTACGAGCCCGTGAATGGCGTCGAGGCTGAGAAGCCCCTCGAGGGTCTCAAGAAGAAGAACCCAGAGACTCCTCAGAAGAAGCCCAAGACCAATGATGATGTGGATGCTGAGAGTGACGGTGAGAGCGAAGGTGAAGCACAAGATTCCAAGGACACGACAAAGCTATCAAAAAAGGAAGAAAAGCGAGCCACAAAGCGAGAGAAGAAGGCTGAGAAGAAGGCCGAGAAGAAGACAAAGCAAGAGTCAGGCGAATCAGCAACTCCAGCCAAGACTCCAGCCAAGACTCCAGTATCCAAGGTTGCTACTGAGACTGCTAGCACATCTGCGTCAAAGAAACAAAAAAACAAAAAGGCGGGAAAGGACGCCGCTACTCCCTCAAAATCTCAGCCGACTCCCTCAAAATCACAAGAAGCTGATGTCAACCACAACGACAAAGCCGATGAAATCATGCAAGACCAGGTGGACGGTCTTGACCCATCCCTAGACTTCTCCGGCCTGCAAAGAGAAGATGACGGCAGCGCTGTATCAGCGCCCTACTCCGAACCACACTCTCCGACCTTTGACTCAACCGAAACCCCTAATGGCCAGCCTGCATCAGGAGAGCTCGCCAGCACAACCACATCCGTCTCCTCAGTTGCCTCATCAGAAAAGCCCAAGCACCTCAAGATCCCCGCAGATACCACCGCTCTGAGAGCCCGTCTTGCTGCCAAGATTGAGGCTCTCCGTGCAGCCAGAAAAGCCGATGGAACGAATGGCAAGCCCATTCGCACGAGACAAGAGCTCATCGAGGCGAGAAGAGCAAAGGAGGCACAGCGCAAAGCGCACAAGAAGGAGCTGAGACAGCTGGCCAAGGATGAGGAGAAGAGGAAACGCGAAGAGGCACTGGCGTCCAACTCGCCCGGCGTTATGAGCCCCAACATTAGCCTCGACGACGCTTCAGGGGGCTTCAGCTTTGGGCGCGTGGCATTTGGCGATGGCTCGCAAATGTCGCACGACCTTGGCTATTTCCTCAACAGGGGCAAGAAGAAGGGCCCTTCAGATCCCAAGACGGCGCTTCTCAAGGTGCAGCACGAGAAGAAGCGCATAGAAGAACTCGGCGAGGAGAAACGCCAGGACGTTGAGGAGAAGGAGACCTGGCTGAATGCCCGCCGCCGTGCCGAGGGTGAGAAGATCCACGACGACGAGGCCCTGCTCAAGAAGGCCGTCAAGCGCAAAGAGGTAGCCAAGAAGAAGAGCGAAAAGGCGTGGAAGGAGAGAGCCACGGGCGTCGCCCAGGCCCAGCACGCGAAGCAAAAGAAGCGCGAGGAGAACATCAAGCAGCGACGCGAGGACAAGCTGCTGCGCCGATCGGGCAAGAAGAAGAAGGGCGGCGCCACAAAGAAGAAGGGTGGACGACCCGGCTTCGAAGGAAGCTTTGGAGTTGGCGGGAAGCGCAAGTAAAGAGACGACTTGGCGACGGTTCGCATGTAGCCCCCCTTTGTTGGGCATGTCGTGTTGTTCGATAAGACAAAAGCTTTGTACCTATTTCACGGCCCTTCATCTCATGAGCCTGCATGGCAGTTCTCTGGTTGTTCTTGTTTCCATTTGCTTTGCTTTTCTTCTTCTCTTTTGTTTGGACTTTTCTATTTTTCATCTACATAGGGCGAACTAAGCGTCGGAGGCGCAGGGCATGGCATCATTTCAAATATTGACCGTATGGAGGGGGAGGTTTTACGGGATCATTTGTGGTTATGTATGGCCGTTTTGAAGACGGCAAAGTGTTCTAGGTATTTCACGATGGCTGACGAGGGTTTAATACTACATTGCAAAAACAAATGAAGAAAAAAGGTCTCTCTGATCGTGTACAAAAAATGCTACTACATGTTCCTTTTTTTTCCCAGCATTACAAAAATCCATACGCAAAGCATACATACAGCACACACATCTCATTCTCCAAGTTTTCCTCTTTCAACTTCTCTTCATCCCCCTTTCCCTACCCTCTCTCTCCCTCCCCTTCAGAACGTAGTAGAGCAGCAAACATTTCAGAAACAAGTAAAAACAAGAAAAGAAGGCGAATAAAATTAGTAAAAAAAAGACTTCCCATCTAGGCAAGGCAAAAGGACTCGCTTCTTGATCTCTCTCAACTTCATTCTCGCTCTCTCTTTTTTTCCACGCTTTCCCTCCCACCCTTGACTTCCCTTTTGTTCCCTTTCCCTTCTCATATACCCACCCTTTCATACCCCCGTCGTCCTTCTCTGTGTGTGCGTCGTATTTCATTTCAGCCGTTAACCCCCCGACAGCAGTGAAAATAAGAAGAAAAAAAAGAGATGCAAAACCCTCCGCCCCTGTCTCCCACTCTCCCCTTTTCCCAAGATAAAGTGACAAAGAAGGCAAAGATTTCTCGATTATTTTTTTGGGTACTGTTTTTTTAAATATCTTTCGAGAGCCGAGCATGGAAGAGGGGAGGTTGGATGAAAGGGAGATCTTGTGGTGAGTTTTTTTTTTGTTAGAGAAGATGTATCCGTAGAAGGAAGGGGAATCGATTTGGCCTTTTGTTTTCTGTCATCATTACAATCGAATTAGGAAGTGGTATAGTGGTCGGTTCGTCCAGAGCCGGTCGGGGTTTATAGAAGCGAGTCGAGTCTGGTAAAGACGCTCAGGCAGGCTGCCACGATTTCGAGTTGCAGCTCCTTATCCTTGGCCTTGTTGACCTCCTACATTGCAACATCATATTAGCACTGTATCTTCTTGCGCAATAATCTGCCATAAACAGCGCTCTCTCACCTCGGCTATGACCTGCGGTAGGTTGGCTCCGATGCCATTGCCCGTGGCCTTCTTGCCAAAGGGGTACTGGCTGTAATCCGCCAGTAGCTCGTCCGTCTGCGCAAACGCTCGCTCCCTGGCCTCGTGGCCCAGCGTGGACAGCGCATTCTCCAGGACGTTGGCGGCGTATGCGGCACACACCATGGACACGGTGCGCAAGTAGCGGAACTCGAGGTTCTCAGGCAGAAACTGGCTCCCGTTGAGGACGACGGTGCGCTGGGTCAGGACGTTGCGCACGCGGCGGCGAATCTCCTCCTTGGCTCCGCCGTCGGCAACGGGGTGGGTGGCCATGTCGAAGAGAAGGAAGTTACGCTTCTCCGTCCGTAGGATGCCCTTGTCAACCAGGCCCTTGGCTAACCGTTCGCGGACCTGCTTGAGCTGGTATCCTATCTTCATCAGGTTCCAAGTCTCGCCTGGGTTTTCAGAGCATTAGCCAATGCATTGGTCAGGTTACGTGTATTCACAGCACACACACACAAGGCCGTGGCAATGTCGCGGGCTACACAGAATAGGGTGAGGGGTGAAAGGCAGGGGTGGCAGGGGTGGCAGTACCGCTCATTAAGTCAATCCAGGAGCTGACGCTCATCTTTTCGCTCTGCTTCATCATTTTGAGGGCCTCGTCGAGAAGCACCTCGCCGGTAAGGGTATCGTCTATCACTTCGATGTTTCGGTCTGCCAGGGGGAACCGTCGCCGCGCCGGATCCTTTTCCATGCTGATGCGCCCGCGGAAGGCAAGCTCCAGCACGATGCATCCTCGGAGCGCGTACGAAATGTTGTCGTTCCAGAACGACAGATACCCCTAATCACAAGGCTTCGGTCAGCAATTGGGGCGGCGCCACGCAAGCAGGCACACACACGCACCTGTTTGTCCTTGAGACCAAGCAACAGCACCTCCTCCATCATGGTCAGCTTGGGCTGCTTGCTCCGCTCGGCCGACTCGCTAATGTCTCGAGGGTCAAAGGCAATCTTGTGGCCGTTTTCGCCGCTCTCGTAGCTCGTCTCGGGGCCGCTGTCTCGAACGTCGCGGGTCGAATTGGTCCTCGAGACGCCGTTGCTGCTCTCGCCCTCGGTGCCAGCGACGCCGCCAGCTCCACGGCGTCGCGTCAAGCCTGACGAGGACATGCTGACGGGCTTGGTAGGGTGATTGGGAAGAGGTGTCGATTGGGGGAGGATGCGCCGATTCTGGCGAGCGTCGTCGATCGTCAATCGTCAAAGGAGCCCAGCCCCAGACCAGACACGAGTCGGTGAGAATCGGCGAGCGAGGCGGCGGGCGAGGGGCTTTTAAACAATGGAAAACAAACGGCCAATGCAGCAGAGGGACCCCAGGCCGATGTTGGACAGCGCTGTCACGCACAAGAGTTGTATGGTCTGGCAAATCTGAAAAAGGTCCACAGGCGTCTAGGAGAGATGAGGTCCCTGGTTCTGGTGGGCCGCGTCAATGATTCGTCCAGGCCTGAGGCTCTGAGCCGTACAGTAGCAAGGATCCATTGATCAATTCGATGCCTATGGCGGGGAATTCCTAGCGCAACCTTGAACAGAGCGACCAGTTCCAGCGCCCAGTTGAGCGCTAATGGGCCCTGAAAAACATCAACTGATTAGACGTCCATGGACGGCTACGGAGCGGTGCCGCACTGACGACACCGGCGCTACGGGGGGGTTCTTTTGCAAGTTGGGGGAGCTTTCGGCGGGCTTGGGGGGGTTGGAGTGGGATCTGAGCCCTGGCGCAGAATGGGGCAGCCGCGTGTACTCGCAGCACTTCCATGGCATTTGGACCAGGTAGAGTCTGTGCAGCGTGACAAGGTACAGAGTACGAGCAACACGATACCAAGGTAAGCTTAATACAGGGCTTTCAACTATGCCATTGGGCAAACTTGACTGGAACCCGAAACAAATGAGGCGATGAGGCTTGATACGAAGTGGTTGATGGGGAGGTTGAAGGCTGTGCCGTTCTGCATATGTCTCAGACACAGGGACTACTGGCGGAATATTACCTCCATGCCTCCATGCTGTCAAGGTTGCAACTAGGCGCAGTTCTGGAGCTAATGTCTGTACGAATTGAGGCCGAGTTGAGAACCAAAAAGAGGGACAGAGAGACAACGGGAGAGGCCTTCTATTATTAGCATCGAGCCGGATTACCAATCAATCGATCCAATGCGCGCAATTGAGGTTTCGGGGATCCAATACTGAATAGACGCTCTATTCTGTTGATACTCGCACGGGGACTCTATTGACAAATGATCCCTGTGTGATGATTTGACAGAGATCGCTACTGTGCACGTGCCGCGCTTCGCTCAGCCTGGGAAGGAGGCAAGCCGGAGACTGCCCCATTCGGAATTCATTAGCAAAGGCCACGTAAAGGGACGCTTCTCCACTCTCAACGTCAGGGAATTCTTCTTACTCGACACAAAGCTAGGCCATTGATTCGATATCTGGTGATGTACGACTTGCAGAACACATCATGAGGCAACTCGCTACCGTTTCCTCATAAACAACAGACCGGATTTTACAATCTACTTCTTTTCATCCCCCAAGCCGCCTCATGATGCGGACAATGAACGAGGGCACAAGCCAGGGGTTCATACCCCATGTCTGTCTCTAATCGAGATGATATGCTCAAAGCCCCAGATCAGGATCGCCATATAGATCCCAGGTCTGTGATATGGTTCAAGGGATGCCACGCCGGGCTTCATCAGTCATTGATCTATACGGGATTGCGCTTGCAACATGGCAGTCTCCTTGTGAGCATACAAACTTGAACGGACACCGGCGCTTACAAGCATCTTACATACACGCGGGTGTCGTTGCTTAGCTGGTAGGTAGGCACCTCTCATTCTGCAGCAAATGCTCTCTCCTAGATCCACATGTATACTAACCTCAAACTCCACAGAAAGCTACCTCACACATGGATCGATGATAGCATCAAGCCTTCTCCTACGAACAATCCAGCATCATCTCAGTCTCTGATATGGCCTACCCCGTATCCATGGCTTCAACACCACACCAGCACCTCCCCTTGCGGCTCGGGGGGCGCTGCAATCGCTGCACCATGGCCCTGCAGTACTGGACTGTTGACCAGCTGGCGGCTACCGTACCCTTATATACCAGGATTTCTCAATGCCTCTCAACAGCGAGCGGCCCACTTGGTAATGGCCTGGTCGGCAATGCAGCGCGTGGGAATTGAGAGGGGACTTCTCAGTTCGCACGGCTCATTACGACGAAGGCCACCGCCAGGTCAGGAACTCTCAGACACGGCCCGCAGCCCTGGATGGCCGACGCGTAGACCCCACCCGTCGCACGTTCGAGCTGTTGGTACCCGCAAAGAAATACCCATGGGAAACCGGGGCGCGCAGTAGGATCTACGCTGAACACCAAGAGAGATCGCTGGGCGTATAAGTTTTTTTTTATCCTTTTCACAATGTTTTTTTTTGCTTCTTGTGGCGGCGCCTGTCTGTTTTGTCCTCCAGCGTCGTCGGTGTTCGATGTTGCATGGGGTTGCGGCCTCGAGATACCTTCTCGGCGTCCATGGATGAACGCCGTGTCCAAAGGTACTTTGGGATCAGGTACCAGTTGTCCAAGGCTACCGAAAACTGAACGGTCTCCTCGAGGTCGGGGTTCGATTCCTCTTAGGCGCTGTCCTTTTTTTCTTTTTTTCTTTTTTTTCCGTGACGAATGATGAAATCGGGCATGCCCAACAGCTACATGCTTCAGTATTATTATTCACAGCATATCGATAGGTGCAAAGTGCTTGAAGTGATGATATTCTTTTGTGTGTGTGCTCTCACGGTCCATCTGCGCTATGGATATCACGATGCGGAAATTGTAGACAGTGAAACGCACCATAGCTACAGTAGCCAGTTAGGTGGGCAGTTGCTTGCATCTGCTATGTATGTAATCCCCCCCTATATCTGATCTCCTCAAATCCAACGAGTGTCTTGCATTCCTGCTTCGTACCACCAGTTTTTGATTGCCCATGAGATCAATCATATCCTCACGCCTTGGTGCCCACCGTATCCTTCCATAGTTCATCAAAATTGATGTTATCAGCTTCAAAGAGCTCGCGAATCTGCTTGGCCGCTGCTTCTTGCTTCTCCGGGCCGAACCCCCCTGGCTGAGTCGATTCAAATTGTACAATCTCAATCCACCGGAAAAACAGGTTCTCTTTGCCCATGGCCGTAAGGGCATCCCGAAAGGCGAAAACTTGCCTCCTCTTTTCGTCCTCCTCGGCCGATATGGCCAGCTTAAGATCGTGGCAAATCCAGCCGTAGTCCTGGTGATACACCAAAATGACATTTCTAAACGCCTCGAGGGCAACCTCCTTCTTGTCGACAAGTTTGTGGGCGAGGACCATGCAGTTCCAGTCCAGATTCCACTTGTCGTTCATGAGGAGATAGCCAGTCTTCTGCTCCTGGAGCATGGGCGACGTCGCTTGCTGAGTATAGGCAAGCAAAATCTTCTTCGAGTCGGCATCCTTGAAGATGTCACGCAGCATCTTATCCCAGTCACGGCTGCGGCGGACGTAAACCTCCTTGTCCCGGAAGCCCACATTCCATCGCCACCGCGTCGGGTTTCCATGTGCGGTGCCAAGCGTAAACTCGACAGGCCATGGCCAGACGAAGACGAACAGCACAAAGTCGATAAACATGACGATGCCACGCTTCCAAACTTCCCAGGACAGCTCCGACCACGACGCCTCGTGAAAAGGAAACGTCATCTCGTTGGGATTGCCAAAGCCCGACATGAGGAGCTTCCAGTACCAGGGGAGGATGGAGTACATGCGCCAGACGAAAAAGACGGCGACGCTCACATTCAGAGCAACGGGCACGAGGAACATCTTGCGCTTGAAGGCGGCGGGTTTGGCGTCGATGTGCGTGATGTAGATGTGCTTCTGCGAGAGCTCCTGGATGAAGGGCTCCAGCACCTCCGGAGGCCGCTTGAACGGCGCTGGGGGATCCAAGCTGCCATTGCTGCCGGATGACTTGGAGGCGGCAGATGCCTTTTGTTTCCCACTTCTCTTAGAGGGGGCCATGGCAGACGCTGGCCGGCTTATGCCTGATTCTCGAGAGAATCAATTTGTTGGGTTGGCGATGCGCAGCAGTTGTAGGTGTTTTTAGTAAGTGAGCTTCAGGGGGATGTGGTATCTTTGGCCCCAGCAAAATTCAGGTCCGACCGCCTTGTAAGCTGTATCCACAGCGAAATCGCCACAAGGCTCGAAAAGAAAGAAGAAGGAAGGCAATTGTGAGGAATAACTGGATGAGGCGTTGGAAAGGCTCTTGATTTCAGGTTCAATTACAATGCCATGTTTTACATGTATTCGAAAATCTACGAGATCCTGTGCCATGCTCGTCTTATGAAGATGAGCTTCGTGGCAAGGCTTCTTATCGATTTAGTAGCCCGTTTGAGTTAGCGACACGGTAGATCTCAGGTACTAACGAACTGCTACCCGAGACCATCAGCAGGGGAAGCGTCAAGCAGATGAACAATTTGCTCTATGGATATTGGAAGTATGCTTGATATGGAAATGAAGAAAAGAAATCAAGAGGAATGACCAATTGAATGTGTATAGTTAACAAAATACATAAAGAGGTGGTTGTTGCAGCAAATTGCACAACTTGCGGACAATCCTATCCCGAGATGCCCCTCCAAGTACTTCATCGTCGAGCTTTAGAAAAAAAAAAAAATACATATCCCGCTAAGCCTAGAACAAGAGCTAACCTTTCTACCAAGGACCAGCAATCTTCAAGCAGCGTCTCCATTCGTACTCTCTTCTACCCAATGTCGACAGAAGCTTTGCGTGAGCTTCATCGTCATTCCTTGTTGCAATGTTGAGAGCTCGCGCGTGGAAGGTTTGCACTTTTGCCGCCCAATTGAGCTCTGTATTGCCGGTGCGATAACTGACATCATACAATCCAGGATCGCAGCAATCCGTTTGTGTGCACGCTTTGTCGACAGAAGCTGGCTGTTGATGCCGGGCCGCAGCATGTACGAACTCTGTCTACTTCTTCGGTCTCGTCGAGGCCTTTAAGCGCGCTGCGCTCGGTGGCCAGCTCTCGAAGCGCCGTTTTCTCTTGTCAGGCCCGATCGCTGTCTCGGACGCCATGTCTCAACAACTCTGCAAACAATGAGGGGCCTCCCAAGACGGGGGGATTCCCAGGCGCATTCTCTAATACTAGAGTGGGGAATTGGGGCACATTTGCAAAAGCAGACACGGCATCTGGGGCTACGACTGCAGCAGATGGACTGCTGCCGCACGAGCGACTGGCCCGGCGGCAATCAGCAGCGACAGAGAGTGTGCGGACAGACAAAAGGAACGAGCCTAAAGGCAACGATCTCAGAAAGAGTACGGGAAACCAACGCAGGAACACTCCGCAAGCGACCAAGTCAAGATCAGTTCTGGCCGACGTCTTCAAAACCAACCGAGAGCCGCGCCCTCCGCCAACTCCAGAGTCTTGGTCTTCTCCGCAGCCTGAGGGCAGCGAAGCTGCAAAGAAGCTGTCGAGGCTATCAATACCCAGTGATACCTTTGCTCGTCCGGGGAAGCCCGCCGGGGAACAGACAACACGATCAACAGGAGGTAGTCTCAAAACAACTGGATGGGGTTCTTTCAGCAACCGCAAGGCCGACGTGCCCCCCCACACACATGGAGTAGACCCTCGTGGAAACCAATCCGGTGTGTGGAACGAAATTACCAAGTCTCGGAAGCCTAAGACGAAGGTGAAGCTTGGAGCGAGACCGCATGCGCATGGCCACGAAGCCAAGGCTTCAACTACCCAGCCGTCCGCAGCCCAGGAACCGGCCACTCAAGACTTCTGGGGAGAACTGGAAACTAGAGCCACGGGATTTAGGGACAAGGCTAAAAGTAAGAATGAAAATCAACCTGTGGATAGGAGGAAGAAAACACAAGATGCTCAGGACAAACGAGACTCCCTAGGGGAGACGTTTACATCCACACCCAAAACTGAGGACGATACTCAACTGCAGAAACAAAGACGAAAGTCTAGATTTGAAGTAGAGGAGCAGCAAGAGCCCGAGAAACCGCGGTCTAAAAAGGGAAAGAAGTCGCAAAGAGTGTCACAAGCTTATGAAGACGAAGACTGGGATGACGAAGCCGTACACCGCTGGGAGCAGAAGCAGCGTCGCAAAGCGGAAAAAGAGGCAAAGAAGCAGAAAGCCGTAGAGGAAGAGCCACAGGCCGTCCCGATATTCCTCCCAGAGTATATCAGCGCATCAAACTTGTCCAGAGCTCTCAAGCAAAATGTTACCCCTTTTCTGCAGGACATGGAAGAAATGGGCTTCGAAAATATCACTAGCGACACAATCTTCACTGGTGAAACTGCGGCTCTCATTGCAATGGAATATGGCTTCGAGCCTACTGTTGATACCGGATCCCTTCGAGATCTCCGTCCTCGTCCTCCGCCAACGGATGTCTCAGTCTTGCCGTCTCGTCCTCCCGTGGTCACGATAATGGGCCATGTCGATCACGGCAAAACTACTCTTCTGGACTGGCTTCGCAAGTCCTCCGTCGCCGCACAAGAGCACGGCGGCATTACTCAGCACATTGGTGCGTTTGTTGTGAAAATGTCGTCTGGCAAGTCCATCACGTTCCTCGACACTCCCGGCCATGCTGCCTTCTTATCGATGCGCCAGCGCGGAGCAAATGTGACAGACATTGTGGTGCTCGTTGTTGCTGCCGATGACAGTGTCATGCCCCAGACGCTCGAAGCCTTGAAGCATGCTACGAGTGCCAAGGTGCCCATTATCGTCGCCATTACAAAGGTTGACAAGGAAGATGCTCGGATTGACCAAGTCAAAGCAGATCTTTCTCGCCATGGAGTTGAAATCGAAGACTACGGCGGCGATGTACAAGTTGTCTGCGTCAGCGGGAAAACAGGTCTGGGCATGGAAGACTTGGAGGAGAATATCGTCACGCTTTCCGAAATCCTGGATGTCCGAGCCGAAGATGACGGTATGGCTGAAGGATGGGTTTTGGAGTCTAGCATCAAGCCTCAGGGCAAAGCCGCGACCATCTTGGTCAAGAGAGGAACACTCCGCCCTGGCGACCTGATTGTTGCCGGCAAGACCTGGGCAAAGATTCGTGTGCTGCGTAACGAAGCTGGTCTTGAGCTGGACTCTGCTCCTCCCGGAACGCCTGTCGAGATTCTGGGCTGGCGAGAGCTACCCACTGCCGGAGAGCAGGTTATCCAATCTCCCGACGAAGGAAAGGCGAAGACGGCAGTTGAATATCGCTTGGAAATGGCTGAGCGTGAGCAAAGCTCCATCCAACTCGCCGAGCAAGAACAGCGCCAACGTGAAAAGGCCGCGGCAGACGCTGCAGCAGATGCCGAGGGCGCGCCAAGCACCGCTGCTGAATCGGCTGAGACTGGAATCCTGACGCAAAACTTCACAGTCAAGGCGGATGTTGTTGGATCCGTGGAGGCAGTTTGCGGAACCATCCTGGAGCTGGGCAGCCACGAGGTGCAGCCCAGGATCCTGCGATCCTCTGCTGGGCAGATCACCGAGTACGACATTGACCACGCGGCGACGTCCAACAGCATCATTGTCAACTTCAACATCAACATCCCCCCGCATATTAAGCAGCGAGCCGAAGAGGCCAAGGTCAAGATTCTCGACCACAAGGTCATCTACCACGTCGTTGACGACGTCAAAGCGGCGCTGTCCGACATCTTGCCCATGAATGTCTCGTTCCGTGTCAACGGCGAGGCCGATGTCCTGCAGGTCTTCCCGATCAACGTCAAGAAGCGTGTGTTTAGAAACATTGCCGGGTGCAGAGTCCGAAACGGCTCCATCAAGAAGTCGTCTCGCGTAAAGGTCCTCCGCCGAGGCGAGGTAGTCTACGACGGTATGTACAAATATGGCTCTTCTAATTGCGAGATGTAGATGGGCGTTTGAGTGCTAACTTTGAAACAGGCAAGATAGACACCCTGAAGCATGTGAAGAAGGATGTCCAGGAAATGGGCAAGGGGGCAGAATGCGGCATTGGCTTGGAAGACTTTGAGGAGTTCCAGCCAGATGACCAGATTCAAACGTATGAGGAGATTAAAGAGAGGCGGACCTTGTAATATGTACATGCATTGACACAAAAAAGAGGCGGCATTGACATATAGACATGTAGAATATGTACGATATGGATGGACGTGTACGAGTATAACTGCAACGCACGGGAAAAGGCATTCCATTCTTCTCATGAATTGGCAGTTAGCAACGGAAGAGAAACATATATAGAATGCCGAGATTTCACTATAGAGGGCACTCGCATATTGCATCAATCGTGTCATTCAATCCATGTCATGTACAAATCACTACCATCTACCCGGCGCAGAAACGACATTCGACGAAAACGTCCTCGTCGTAATCGCCGCCCTCGCCCTCTCCTTCTTCAGCTTCTCCAGCCCTATCCTATCCGTGACCGGCGTCGCAGCAATAATGTTGTCAAACTCGTCGTCGTCGTCGCCACTACCCTCCCCGTCCTCACTACTATCACCGCCATTGTCGTTGTCGGAATCTGGCTCAATGTCCAGGTCGGCCTTGAAGCGCTGCTGTGGACGGGGTATTGTCGAGGGCTTTTGCTTCTCCTCGGTGTCGGGATTGGGGTTGGTGAATGTTTTTGAAGCGAGCACTTTGCGGCGGATCTCCTCCATTGCAGCGTCGTCGTCGCTGTCGTCCGACAGGGCGTATGGATCTTTATCTTCGTCTTCTTGATCTTCGTCCCCTTTATTCTCATCTTTTTGTTTGGGCGGCCTTTTGCCTAAGTATATGCCGTCTATGCTTCCCTCCTTTTCAGAGTTGTCGTCGTCGTCTGAGTTGTCTTCATCATCATCCTCTTCTCCTTGATCATCGTCCGAATCTATTGGCGCCCTTCTGTTGGTGTTTCCGCTGGCCCAGATGTCGTTATTGCCCTCCTCTCTACTCTCGGCATATTCCTGCTCCAGCCTCTCCATCCATTCTTCCTCCGTCTTCTTGACTTCGGCCTCGTCCGCACAAGCCGCATACTTCCTTAACAAACTCGAGTTGATCTCCAGAAACGACGGTCCGTATGAAAAAGGTGCTAAAATCTGCTCTGCCCAATCCAAGTGACCGCAAATCGCAAACGCAGCGGCCAATGCCTCGACGCAATTCAACCTCCAAGGCTTGCCGTAGTTGACCGTGTTGGCGGCAACGAGATACGGCAGCAGCCTCTCGCACTTGCCGCCCACCTTATTCCACTGCACCTCCTTGGTTCGGGCCCACGAGCACTCGACGACGGCGGCTCCAAACTGGTCCATGAGCTCTCTGTCGGCGGGCGAAATGACCTTTTTGCCGTTGGGAGTGATGATGACGCCGCCGTGGCGCTGGCCGAGGTGCAGCTCGCGCATCATGCCCAGCTTCATGAGCTTCTTTCCGGAGCATCGCTTGGGATCGCAGTGGCCCAGATCCCAGCAGGCAGCCTTGAAGGCAGGGCGGCCAGCTGAGGACTCGGCATCGTCGTCGTCTCGATGGCGGGGTTGGCGAGGAGGACCGCCGCCACGACCGCCGCCGAATTTCTTGCCTCTGCCGGCAAAGTCTTTCTTGTGCCGTACCATGATTTGTTTTGCTCTGATTTGCTGTAGATCTGGGACTTGTTTTTTGTTTGAAAAGAAACAGCGAGAGTCTCAACTTGAAGACGTCGGTTGGAACACAGATTATTGGTGGGTTGATGATGTAAGGAGGATTTTTTTTTCTTATCGGGGTGATTAAGTTCCAGGGGATCTCTTTAACAGCTCCAGGTACCCCTCCATTGCCGGAAGAGGCATATCTAGATGAGGTACCTCTTTTGAAGCTTCTACATGGGCTGCATAGAGCAAGGATGATGCTGAATAATGCCTACGAGAGAATACAATCAATACCGAGAGTTCTTTGTGAGCAATTACAGCAAAATAGAGACTTATATATAATAAATCCACTCATATTATACTTGAATTGACGCCCTGTAAGACGCCCCTCGCAAGTACTCGCCGTTCTCGCCGGGCTGCCGGTGCTTAAGAGCCCCCGCGGGCGAATATCCAGCGGGCCCCCGATAAGTGCATAAACCATGGCCCAACTCCATCGACACAGCAGAGGCAGCCAATCGCCAGCCAACCCAGAATACCTAGACAGCTCGCACTCAGTTCCAGCACAGTGACCACATCGCCAGAGCGGAGGCGAATGGCGCTACAAGTCGACGAACCAGCGTTACCACTGCGGCGTTGAAGGAGCTGCGATTAGGCAGCAAACGAGGTACGGCCATTGTGCAGCTCCGGCCACGTCGTCCTTTGGCTTTGGCCACTTCTGACCGAGATCTAGCCTGTGAGCCTGTTGAATCGAGACCGAACCGAATCTAGTCGGCGCTCGCAGCGTGTGTCTAGCAAGAGGAGAAGACTGCTTAGCTCTCTCACATACAACTGCGAGCTCGAGCTTCAGACCGGCGCAATACACTGGCGAGCAGACAGACAGACAGACAGACGGAGTGACGAACAAGCGAGCATCTCGAACATACACGACTAACCATCCCAGATGGAAGCTGCCTCTGCTCGCGCGGCGGCCCGCGACCGCTGGGGAGATGTCGGCCGCGCGCCATCTCAGCTCTTGCGCTTCATCCAGGGAGCTTGCAGCCCCGAAAACTACGAGCCCAACCTGGCGCTCAATCTCGAGATCTCGGACCTGATCAACAGCAAAAAGGGCACCGCCCCTCGCGAGGCTGCCACTGCCATTGTCGGCTTCGTCAACCACCGCAACCCCAATGTCGCCCTGCTGGCCCTCAGCCTGCTCGACATCTGCGTCAAGAACTGCGGCTACCCTTTCCACCTGCAGATCAGCACCAAGGAGTTCCTCAACGAGCTGGTGCGGAGATTCCCGGAACGCCCCCCAATCCGCCCGACCCGCGTCCAGGCCAAGATTCTTGAGCTGGTGGAGGAGTGGCGCATGACGATATGCGAGACGAGCCGCTACAAGGATGACTTGGGCTTCATCCGGGACATGCACCGCCTGCTCAGCTACAAGGGCTACATGTTTCCCGAGGTGCGGAGGGAAGATGCTGCTGTTTTGAACCCCAGCGATGTAAGTTTTGGTCTCTCTTCGGCAAGATGCGCCTTTAGTTCAATTGCGCTGGTATGATGCATGGACATGATGCTAATAAGTCTTCTGGTTGACAGAATCTGAAATCGGCCGAGGAAATGGAGGAGGAAGAGCGAGAAGCGCAATCAGCCAAGCTGCAGGAGCTCATTCGCCGTGGCACGCCCGAGGACCTCCAGGAAGCCAACCGCCTGATGAAGGTCATGGCCGGCTACGATACCAGATCCAAGACAGACTACCGGGCCAAGGCTGCCGAAGACGTCAGCAAGATCCAGGCCAAGGCGAGACTGCTGGAAGAGCGCCTCGCGGCGTTCCAACCTGGAGACAAGATGCAGGATGGCGACGTCTTCAGCGAGCTCGCCGCCGCCCTGCAGAGCGCCCATCCCAAGATCCAAAAGATGTGCGAGGAGGAGTCGGACGATCACGAGGCCGTGGCCAGGCTGCTGGAGATTAATGACAGCATACATCGCACAGTCGAGCGTTACAAGCTCATGAAGAAGGGCGACCTCGAAGGTGCTGCCAAAGTCGCGGCCGGAGTTCCTCTGCCGTCGCAGCCATCGGGATCGAACTCGGCGGCAAACGAGTTGTCACTTATAGACTTTGATGGCGATGCTTCGCAAAACAACGGCAGCAACGGTGCAGGTTCATCGCAGGCTGGCGGATTGGAGAACGATCTCCTCGGCTTGGACATTAGCGGCCAGTCGAGCACGTATGGACAGGGCGGCGGCATTGCCTTGGGATTTGGCGCGAATCAAAGTAAGCTCGCGCAGGATTCGACACTCATGTGTGTATAAAGGAACCCCTGACAACTAACTTGATGTATTAGATATTCCTGGACCCGCGCTACTATCCTCTCTCACTCAAGGGAGCACCGCCAGAGGAGCTGGACAGAACGACACGCCACCTCCGTTCTCCCAGTTTGCCTCGTTCACATCCCCTCCCGCCTCACAGTCCGCCACGCCCCAGCCCAACTTTCAGCAGCAACAACAGCAGCAGCAGCAGCACCAAGCACCCCCTCCAGCCGTCTCCAACGCCTTTGCCTCCTTTTCCACCGGCCCTCCCGCCCCTCAACCCGCGGCCGTGTCCAACGACGACGACGAATGGAACTTTTCGTCCGCGCTGCCTACCGAACAGCCGGTGCCCGCCAAGCCCAGGGAGCACAGGGGGACCGCCAGCAACTCTGGCTTGAGAACCGACTTCCTGGCGAAGCGCAGCACGGCCGTTAGCAACTCCATCAACATTGTGTTTGCCTTTTCAAACAACACCGCGCAACCTATCAACGAGCTACACTTTCAACTAGCCGTCACAAAGGTATTGTCCACACTCCCCCCCTCCTTTACACCCCTGACTCTACCCTGCTAACTCAAAGTCACCCACTCTCACATAGGGCTATGAACTCCAACTCAAACCCCAAACAGGCCGCTCCCTCTCCCCCAAGCAGAGCCGTGGCGTCACCCAAGAAGTCGACGTCTGGCACACCGGCAACAGGAACCAGCGCGTCGACTCCGTCAAGCTCCGCTGGCGAGCGTCGTACAAGGTCGGCGAGGAGGTGAAGAATGAGATGGGCGAGATTGCGGAATTTAGCCTTGCGTAAAAACTATTTCTTTTTTTGTAAACCCATTACCATCTTTTTTTTTCCAACTTCTTTTGTGTTTCTTCACAAATATTCACACATTTTTGACATGTATAAGGAGGATGGAGGGGGAAAATGAAGAAGAGAATGGTCTATTTTTCGTCTGTTCTGTATACAGAAGAGTATTGTTTTTGCCTGGGACGCTACTAGAGGGAGAAGATTCGTTGGGCGGAGGCATAGCGCTTGAAAGTCTTGTTTTTTTCCATAACATGTCTCTTCATCAATAATAATTAAAGGAAAAAAAAAAGAAAAAGTTGAAAATGAAACAACACAAATACCTAGTAAGAAAAGACAATAGAAGTGAAAAAAGAAAAAGGAAAACAGTAGTAGAAGAGTAGAGAAGAAGAAGAGAAAAAAAATCAACAAAGCCGGTCAAGAAAAACAAAGAAACGGCCATCTATTTTCACGCCCCATTATGCACATGACCCAAAAGTGAACGGCATTCCATCCTGTCAGGTCTGAACCCAGTTGAATACTCTTTCTCCCTTCATCGTTCTCCTCCCGCATATTTCCATCATCCGTGTAAACGCCGCCGTCAGCCCAGATGTCCCTCCTTGATACAATTCCCAGACAGAAAGAAAAAAACACAAGCCAGCGGGAAAAAAAGATAAGAAAAAACAAAGCTTTAAAAAGAAAATCAAACAGTGTCTGTGCCAAGGCAGAATATTATCGTGCCGCAAATGATGAAGGAAAAGAGTTCTTTTAACACAGAGATGCTCGGTTCGTGACGAGTGTAATCAGGATCCGTATGGTCGAACCCCCTTATCGTTTAGTTGTTCGCAGGGCGCCCAGGAGGCCGTCCAGAGAGAGGAGCAAGAAAACAAAAAGAGCATCCATCAGCCAGCCCATGGCTGCAAAGCGCAAACGAGATAGAATGATGCGTCGGTCGCTAATATTAATCGCACAGGCCAGCTGGGAATTAGAAAAGCTGCTGAATAGCTTCTTGAAACGTTCACCACATCGTGAACAACTTTGGCAACTTCACTCTGGGAGCGCGTCGACAATTACCCTCCGCCATTCGTCTCTTCTTCTAAGAGCCAAGCTCGCGAACAGATAATGACGGCGTGGTGGGCTGGAGCGGGTATCCGTTAGACGATGCTTTGGCCATGCTCTCTCTTTCTGCCTTTTCTCGCTCTCGTTGCGCCTTTTCGGATTTCGTGATGCGAGGTTTCCGTGTGACGGCACCGCCTCGGGAACCTGGACCGCCGCCGCGTCCGGTGGTGGCTCCTCCTCTTGTCGCGCCTCCTCGGCCGCCGCCTCGACTGCCCCGTCCACCGCGTCCGCGCTTAGGACGTTCCTCGTGTCTACAGTGTCTGAGTTAGCAAGTGAAAATGGTAAACTCGGATGAAATCGATACATACCCCGCAGCTGGTTTCTCAACCTCGGGAACCAAGGGGCCCGAATAAACGAAGAAGCCATCTCGGCTGGCGGCCGCTTGAGCCTCCCAGAGCAGTTCAGAGTCGTCCACAAAGTCGTCATCCACATCGTATTGGTCCTCCTTGAAGTTTCGTTTCTTCTTGGGCTTGGCCTGGGCATCGGCGCCACTGACTCCGCCATTTTCGGGATTGCTGCCTTCGGCATCGGACAAGTCGACTGACATCTCATCGCCAGACTCACGACCGGATTCGACCTTTTCCAAGGACGCGGCCGCCGCGGCAATTCGAGCTTTGCGGTCTCGGTCGGCGGCAAGACGGGGATGCAAGGCATCCCAGCCGTACTGATCCTCCGCCATACGCATGAAATTTACGTACTTGTTAGTTTCCCCCGCCGTGATGGGGATGGTGAGGACAATAGTGGGCGTCTCCTTTTCTTCGCCAGGGCGGGCTCTGCCGAAATCAAGAATCGATCTCTCGTCCATCTCCATGATTGTCTCATCCAAATAGTCTGTCTTTGGTGTCGAGACGCCGGTGATGGGCTTTTGCTTGGGCGACACCTTCTTCACAGGCCCATTTGCAATCGTGGTAAAGTTTGCGTGGTCGATGACTGGTCGAGGGGCCGGTGGCGTAGGTGTGGGGGCGTCACGTTTTATCTCTGGCACCGCAGGCTTCAAAGCGGGAGTTTGAGCTGGCGTGGAAGCTGTTGTCTTGGGCACATAGGACGGGGAAGGTGGCAACGGGGTAGCCTCTTGAGTGTGCAAGCGAGACTGAGACACAGGAGGCGGGTATGGCTGGTGGGATTGGCTGGGCGATGCCTTGGTGGACGGCTGTGGCTCAATCATGCTGGCAATAGACGGCGAGCGGTGCGATGGCTGAACCGCTAGGGTGGCTCGCGGAGACCCGGCCGCTGAAGAGTAATGCGAAGTTATCGTTTCTCGCACGGGGTCATAATTGCCTCGGATGGGATCGTAGCTCTGGCCGCTGGTGCGCACGGGTATGGATGTAGGGCTGGCGATGCTGTTTGACGGTGATCGAGTAACTGGCGGCGGGTCGGCATTTAGAATGCTTTGCATGGAGCTAGGATAGCCTTCTCGCTTCTGCATCTTGGGTGAATACCGCCTGTCGGGGAGCTGCTGTAAATGATGCTGGGGCGTGGAAGACAAAGGCTCCCCAAGCTGTGGGTGAAGAGAGGGAGAAGAGGACGACAGCCCCGGAGCCGCGGCGGGGGCGAGCGGCCTCGGACTGGGCGCATCGGTATCGACATCAGAGGCAGGCGCCAGCTTTCTCTTGCGCTGCACGGCTGGTGCTTCCGCATCTCGAGACTTTCGGGGCTTGCGAACCTTGGGCGCTTCGGATCCGTCAGTTGGAGCCTTTGGCTTGACCACGGAGCCGGGTTTGCGTCCCGGCTTTTTGCGGGGTACGCCGGCTGCTGTTAGTTGCACCCATTCGCCGTCGATGTACGAGTATTTCTTCTGCGCCTGGCTTCGAGAGCCCGAGGCGGTTCCCGGAGAGCCGCCAGAAGGTGGCTGCGGATACTGCTGCGAGTACTGCGGGTTCTGGTCGCCGCTGACGACGATTTCCTCCATGTCGAGCTTTGCGGTGTCTTTCGCGACGTTGGGACGGCGGCCAGCCCCGTGAGAGGGCGACCCGGGTTCTGAGAGGGAGCCTGAGGGAGGAGAAGAGAGTTCGCCTGCGGAGGAGTCGAATCGCGTCGATGCGTCGCCGACAGCAGCCATAGTAGGGCTGACGCGAAGCTGGAAGCGATGAGGGGGGGCTGCCGTCAAGATGTGACCTGGCGGCAGCGCAACTGTCTCTCAGACACGGGTCGGGAAAGGTGGACGGAGATGGATGCGAAGGGCAATCTGTCGTTTTTTCCCCCTAGTGGGCGAGATATGTATGGAGAGGGAATTCCGGGCGACAAGGCTCGGGAATTTCGCAGAGGGTGGATGGAAGATTATGTATTACAACATAAAAAAAGAGAAGAAGAGGTGAAGATTAGAATGGAAAAAGGAGGACAAGGAAAAAAGAAAAGAACCCGATGAGAATCAACCAAGATCAAGAACCCCCAATCAAAAAAGGCAACGAGTGTGTTTGAAATGGCAGAACAGAACAGCCTTGCAAAGGAAGTGCAAATGCAGGCAAATGCAAATGCAATCAAACGGCAAAGCGCGTCAATTCAAACGAGGCTGCGGGTGCAGAAAGTGTGACGTTACGTGAGTGGCCGGAAGCCGGAGTGGAAACGTGACGAGTGGAGCCCGCCTGGCCTGGACTTGGACTTGCGAATAGCCTCACAAACGGCCAGTTTGAGCTGGGCGACGGGCTGGCGGGTGATGCGATGCGCGGCGGCCTGACGGATGCACCGAGGATGCGGGGCTGCAGCGGTTGCAACAGCTGGAATGGCGTGCAGCAGGGCCAGGCCTGAGGGATGCGGTTTTGGCGATGGCGCGGGCGCTGCACGGGGGCGAGATTTGATGGGAGGAAAAAAAAAGTTGCGTGGTTGTGGTTGGGGAGCGAGGAGGTGAAAAAAGGTGAGGCAAAAGAAAAGGGGAGAGGCGGATGGAGGAACAAGAAGAGCGAAAGGGAAAAGGGAAAAAAAAAGAGGAGGGAGGGGGAAATGATGGGGGATTTGCCAGCTCGGCACGATTTGGGGATGGCGACAATATGGGATAGCAATTCTGATTTTCTAACAAAAGGCGAGAAAAACGGGGCGGCCAGCGCGTGTTTTTGGCCTGGGAAAAACTGCATCGGTTGTCTTCGGTCACTATTTGACGACGGTCAAAGTACAGTACCTGACCTGTGCTATGAATGCCAATGCTGGGGACTGGAGGCAAGGCAAGGCAAGTCGAGTCGGGTTGAATTAAGCAAAAAAAGACGGGCTGGGCGTGGGTCGCAGCGCCAAGGGGGGGTACCGGTATGAACAAAAACAGCAATTCAAACTTGGACTTGCCTGTCTTGGATTTTTTATGCGGCGGCGGCGGCACAGTACGGGGGGCACGGAGCAAAATATCGAACCAAGAACGAATTGAATCGATGGACGTTGTGGTGGTGGAACGGGGGTCAGTTAGGCTATGTACTGCTGGGTTAGCATGGAGTGTCTACCGCCTACTATGTACAGTAGGTACAGTACAGTACGGTCCAGCTGGCCACATGTACGAGCCATGTTAGGATGTTAGGAGGCATGTATGTGCTAACAAAGACCCGGCAATAGCGCACCCAAGTCGACAGATGCGAGCCGAAGTTGGCGCTCCAGTCCTCTATTTGACAGACTAGCCCAGGGCCCAAGGACACATATCCAGGGTTTAGCGTCGGATCACGGGACTGCTAGCCAAGTATCAGCCTACCAAATCTGCTCCCTTACCTCAGTAGCCACTGCTAGTACCACGTCCGCTAGCAGTTAGTGGCATTTAGACTCCAGCTCCAGTTCTGCAGTCCCGATAGTGCAGATGCGCAGAGAAGACCCCAAGGCTGATTGATTGCCAAGCCACCGCAGATGCGCATGGCCACATGAGAATCCCACGGGCAGCCACTTGCAGTGAATCGCGGCAGCCGCAAGCACAGCTGCTCGACTCGCCGATCGGACGGTGAATCAGGCCTGGGCGGTGCCGGAGAATTCAGGATGCAAGGTTGAGAAACAGGCACAGTAGCGTGGCCTGATCCATGTACTGGCCGTGCCTTGCGGCACCCCAGAGTCCCCTAACAAAGTTGCCTGTGTGTGGGGGGGACAGGAAGGCGACGCTAGGGCACTTTCGAGATGCGCAAATACAGTGCACGTAGGGGGGGATCGGCCGGCGGGCCAATCAGGGCGCAGATTAGACGCGGCACGCTCTTAGCGACCAGAGGCTTCTAGTGACCCGAGAAGCGCGCTGCAGCAGCCAAAGAGCGGGGCTGTTGCTTTTTCCGTGCTCATGGCTGCATGCACCAGATTCCGGAAAAAGACCAGGCCTGAAGCCGAGCCCCACCCGCTGCCGTCTTTTGGATTTCTGGCTGGTGGCATCAGATAGGATGGGACAGGGCAGGCGCGGGCCGCCGGTTGACGGTGGCATCAGGTGCGCCGTGTCGGTCGCAGATGGACACGAATTGATTGGAAAAAGGAAAAACTCCCATATAAAGAAGAAGAGAAAAAAAAAAGAAAAGAAAAGACATGGATAAGAAAAAGGAAACAAAAAATTAGTCAAAAATAAATAACAGGATGAAACAAAAAATAAGTGAAACATTCTCAGTTGTGCCTTGTCATGCATGTCTTGTAATAGTATCAATACATGCTGTAATTTTTTTTCTTGTCTCTGGCTGCCTCCTAAAAACTTGATGGAACCTACCTACCTACAGAGACACTTTGGGGTCTCGCCTCGCTAAAACCGCTGCAGCCATCCATCCCCTACGCTGCCCTTGCAAACGGCGAGCTCTTTTTCTTGTTCTGCAATGTTGATTCCTCTGCGCATCAACGTCACCTTTCAACGTCCCTGTATATGTAACATCTATGCTGCCAGCACCGGTTTATTTTTATTTTTCTTCTTTTATTTTTTCTCAGCCGTCTTATCTATGTATTGTAACTAAATGAATAATTCAGAACTCTGCACAGGTCAAGTAAGCATTGCAGCCCCTAGCAGCCTTTTAGGCTCCTACCAAAAGTCACCCTGGCTGTCGCTGTCGCCGATCACTCCGTCTCATGTACAAGTATGTACTTTTCGGATTTCGCCAGAAAGTCAAACCTGCGCATCCGTTCAGCCGCTCAGTATGAACATCACAGTATGATACAGTACGCATTGGGTGATATGTGACCGGCGCACACGCGTTGCCACGACGCTGTCTCACCCAAAATGCACGCCTGAACCTTTTGCTTTTTCTTCTCGCCCGTCTTGCCAATTAGGGCCCCTGTCATGCGCTGCTTGCTGGGAACCCGCGTGGCACTAATGCAGGTGTGGCGGTGCTGGCTGGCTGGGCTCCGAAACTCTAGATTTGATCTAGAATTGCTAACGCTTCGGCCAATCGTGGGGGTCCTTGTTCCACGGCCAGCCGCAAAAGTATACGAGGTACCTCGGGTCTTATTTTACAGGCGCGAACTGCCGTGCGAGTAAGCCTTGGAGGTATTTCGATGCCTGTTCTGAACAGTGCAGCTTCACCAAATGCCGCATGGCTGCCTAGGTGATGGAGTAGCGGGCCGTCACCAGAGAATTGCTTGAATATCCAGCGATGCGCCACGGTTTATGTTCATCAAATTGGTGGACTTTTTTTTTTTTTTTTTGCATGTGACTTGGGAACAGCCACACGCAGCGCGAGGGAAACTTGCTCCTTCACGGCGGCTTGCGTCAATGTCATCGCCCGCCTAAACAGCAGCACCGGTATCTTGTTTGGCAACGCTGATCTGCAGAGGGATACAGCGCAACTTAGATTAAAATGAAACCCGCAACTAACCACGCGCGGATCCACGCATTCCATGTCACCTTGCAGATTGTAACAGAATGCGTGCGCTGTGCAGAGCGCTCCGTGCGAAGCGTCCTGCCAAGGTCAGTACTTTCTTTCTTATTAATGACCTTCTACCAAGCTTCGTTGGTTTGCGGACATGTGCTTATCGATATGGATGGGGCAGGCTAAGCTTCCATCTTCGCCCCACCATCATTTTCTTGAATTCCAACTCTTACCAAGCAGCAGATCAAAGTAGGAGACATCTGTACAGCTACGCCCATCAACAACATGGATCCCACGCTGCTCATTGGTGACATTGTCGAACGAAGCGAAAAGGGGTCGAAACCGGTCGAGTTCCCTTCGGGCCCCATCTCGTCGACCGGGTTTCCTCAGCACAAGCGACGATGGAAACCCTCAGCGTTCAAGCAGCAACGCAGTGGCGGTGCGTCGCGGCCTGGGCAGCCGCAAGAGCCCAACCAGTCACAGAGCTTTGAAGAGGTCGAGAGAAGGCGAATAGATAGAGAAAACCAGCAAAAGATCAACGACATGACGCCCCAAGAGATATCTCAGGCGCAGGAAGACATAATGAAGGGACTGAACCCGGCGCTCATCCAACGCCTTCTTCAAAGAGCCAACATTGACGAGCCCGATCCAAACTCGCCATTTAACATACCTGAACCGCAAGACACTTCGTCTCCATCGACTATAATTCCTGAGGTCCGCCTTCACGACGTGCCAAAAGCGGCCACCGTTGAGGACGACACTGCAGACGTCGCCGAACCAAAACCAGAGCCTAAATTAAAATCTCCTTCTCCCCCTACTACTACTACCGCCCAGACGAAGTCAACTAAGAAAGTCGCTGATAACTACGATGAAGATCGAGAGCCGTCTCAAATCCCGCCAGACCTCTTCCCAATTACCGACCTTCCGAAATCAACACACTTCCCTGTTCCCCCGAGCCTCCCGGACCTGGACCCTTCGGATCCCAATTTCCTTGCCACGCTGCACGAAAAATACTTCCCCAATCTCCCTGCCGATCCGAGCAAGCTGGCTTGGATGGCGCCCGTTCCCACCCAAGATAGTCCCGCTGACAGAGACTCGCCATACTATCCCCATCCCGAGATCAGTGTTTCAGCATTGCGCTTCGATTTCCGGGGTCGTTTCCTGTCACCGCGAGTGAGCCGGTCGATTCCCTCGTCCAAAGGACTGCATCACCACGGAGAAGCCCCCGAGGCTGCAGGCTACACAATCACGGAGCTCGCTAGGCTGGCCAGAAGCGCTGTCCCGGCGCAGCGCTGCATAGCGTTTCAAACTCTAGGCCGCATCTTGTATCGTCTAGGGCGCGGCGAATGGGGAACGACTCTGAATCATCCAATTGCAATGGGAATTTGGAATGCTGTCAAGGAGGGGCGCGTACTAGAGAGTCTGGCTGAGGCAAGCATGGGCGAGGGCGGGCACAGGGGCAGCAGGGCGTATGCCGTGGAAGCCCTCTGGCTGTTCGAGAAGGGTGGATGGCGCGAGAAGCTGCAAGTGAGGTAAGGCAAAGGCATCTTGAGCAGTGAAAAAAAGGAAGCCCGCTTGTTACCGTCGATACCGCCAATGTGCTGTTTCTTTTTAGCCACAATTTGTTTCTAGCATACCCATGCATCTTGAACATGAGCTGGCACCCAAGGTGCTGAATTGCTACATGCTGCCAACAAGACAGGAGAGACGTAGACTACGGACAACGTGACAATTGTGCCTTGGACGACTTATATGCAAGCCATTGAGAGGTTTGAATGCTACCTATATGTACTTACCAGATATGGGCCGTGTTAAAGGCACCGTACGGCAAACAAGCCACGCTGACGTGGATTCTGGCACCGTTTGGCACCCATCAACTTCGACTAGTCTCATGACGTGTACACAGATTTAATCTACTTGGGCCGCTTAGGCCAACACTAATGAACAGGTGTATACTGAGTTGTTCGAGATCCAGCCCTCATGCGAGGAACCCGATGGATTTCGCGCATTGCGCATTGGGAGTCGATGCTGCCAGCTCATGAAGTTGATTTACTGCATCGGGCTTTGTGCGTCGGGCGGCGTCCAATGAGGATGTACTCGTACGTGATCTTATCAGTGTTGAGGTCTTTTGTTTTGACCAGCTCAGCGACTTGACGAGAAAGTGGGAAATATGAAGACTCGAATGAAATGGGCGTGATTGGGAATAATTCAGTTAATGAGCCAGTTGCTTAAAGGACCAATGATATCCATCAAATAGCATCAATTCGTTCAGCATCCAGCACCAAGCAGCAGTAATACGGGCAGGATTCAGGCGGACGCATCTGATAATCCAGCAACGCCCGTGCTGAGTTTCAGGGCTTCGACAGTGACAGCCAGTGATTGGCCAGGCTTGCCCCGGGCACCAGTGGCCATTCCGTCCCAAGCCCAGGGATTCGCCAGGCCTTTAGCGTGCCTCTGGGGGACTTGGCTTTTGCACTGGCAACTTTTGGCCTGAAGCCTTGCCGTGGCGGTGGGGGGAGGGAGTGAAAAAAAAAAAAAATGGAAAGAAAAAAAGAAAAAGAAAAAATACATCGCCCACACTTTTGCCGCCTCTTTCTTCTTCCTCTCCAGCCCACAAGCAACACGGCACCGCCGTCGCCAGCCAACTTCCCCCCCCGCCTTGGGTGCCTTGCAATCATCTTCTCTTCTCTCTTCTCGCTCCTGTGCTTCGGACTCTGATTTGCAGCGCGTTGCGTCGTCGATTCTTTTTCTTTTTCTTCGTCGAGAAACCCCGTCCCGTGCCCGCCGAACCTCGTCGATCGACACACGGCAGTGACGCATCACGACCAGCGACCAAAGGAAGAAGCCCCTGGTTCGCCGACAAAGACATAAAAAAGAAAAGAAAACAATAAGAAAAGAAAGAGATTCTACACTTGGAATTTCTGCTGCGGTCTCGGCAACGACGATAGAACATAATTGTTGAACCGGGCGAATTCCATCAGCTTCCGCTTTTTTTTCTTCTGCACAGCCTGTCAGGATCTTCTGCAGTGCGGAGAGTTCCCATCGTCCATCAAAACAACCCCCTTTTCTTTTCTTTTTTGGCTCATCTGCGCAATTTTACCCGCAGATAAAAAGAAGAACGGTTCAATTGATCGATAAAAAGAAAAAGACAAAAAGAAGCCAAGACAAGAACATTGATTTTTGCAAAGACCGGCATCACCCAGACCAACTGCAAGGCCAATTATTTTCTGTGACTTTGACTAGCCATGGCATCCCCTTTGCAGTTCGCCTACCGGACCCAGAAGACCATTGGCGTCTTTGACGCCGCTCCGGTCTACGAGCCCCTTTCTGGGTTCACCAAGCCCGAGGGAAACCTGCGGTGCTGTGCCTACTCGCCTTGTGGCCGCTTCTTTGGCTGGGCCACTCCCGAGGCTCTCCACGTGGTCAACACCACCAGCGGCCAGCTCATCCTCAACCTGCCCATTGTCAACGTCTACGAGCTCGGCTTCTCGCCCCTGGGCACCTTTGTCATCACCTGGGAGCGGCCCGCCAAGGACGAGGCCGGAGACGCGACCAAGAACCTCAAGGTCTGGCGCACCGTGGAGGAAGGCGTCGACGCTGCCGCCAAGGTGCCGGTAGGCCAGTTCGTCCAGAAGCAGCAGGGCGGCTGGAACCTGCAGTACACCGCCGACGAGGCCTACTGCGCCCGCCTCGTCACCAACGAAGTGCAGTTCTTCCAGAGCCATGATTTCGTCACGGTTTGGAACAAGTTGCGCGTCGAGGGCGCCACCAACTTCGCCTTGGCCCCGGGCCAGGAACATGCAGTGGCTGTCTTTATCCCTGAGCGCAAGGTAAGCTTCACCAATGTTTTTCTGTCGCTTTTGCTGTCGTTGTCTGCTAACAATTGAGAACTTAGGGAGCACCTGCGGCCGTCAAAGTCTACAAAGTGCCCGCATTCCAGAGCCCCATCTCGCAAAAGACCTTTTTCAAGGGAGACAAAGTGCAGCTGAAGTGGAACAAGCAGGGATCCAGCCTCTTGGTCCTGGCCCAGACCGACGTGGACCGATCCGGCAAGAGCTACTACGGAGAGACGACTCTATATCTGCTGAGCACCAACGGCACTCTGGATGCTCGCGTGACCCTGGACAAGGAGGGCCCGATTCACGACGTCTCGTGGTCGCCTTCGTCGCGACAGTTTGGCGTGGTATATGGTTACATGCCAGCCAAGACGACCATTTTCAACGACCGCGGCGTCGCCGTGCACTCATTCCCCCTCGGGCCCCGCAACACCATCACCTTCTCGCCCACCGGCCGCTTCGTCCTCGTTGCCGGCTTCGGCAACCTTGCCGGCCAGATTGACGTGTATGACCTCGAAAAGGACAACCGAAAGGTCTGCACCATCGAGAGCGGCAACCCGAGCGTGTGCGAATGGAGCCCCGATAGCCGTTACATCATGACGGCCACGACCTCTCCGCGACTGCGAGTCGACAACGGCGTCAAGCTGTGGCACGTCACCGGAGGACTCATGTACAGCGAAGATATGGTCGAGCTGTACAGCGTCCTATGGCGACCCGCCGATGAAGCCAGCATCGAGGGTGGAGACCCCCTCAGCTCTGTCCCGGCCGCTCACGCGTCCGCAGCGACCTTCCTCAGCAATGTCAAGGCTCCCAGCAAGCCTGCCGGAGCCTACCGACCACCTGGTGCTCGTGGACTGGCCACGCCGCTTCACTTCAAGCGCGAGGACGAGGGCGGTGCCGCTCACGTCGTCAGCAACGGCACCCAGAACGTGAGCGCCAACGGATTCGGCCGGGCTCGACGTGCCGTCCCTGGCGCTGAGCTGGCCGAGGGCAATGTCCCGACTGTACGGACCGTGCCTGGAGCGGAGCCTGTCAATGACGACGGCTCCGCCAAGAAGAACAAGAAGAAGCGCAGCAAGAAGAACAACCAGCCCGACGGCAAGCTGGAGCCCGAACCTAACGGAGGGGCCAGCCTGGCCCCGCCGCCGCAGGAGTACGGAGGCCACGAGGGCCGCAGCCCAGAGAGGCGCGGCCCGGCCGGCGGCAACCAGAACGGCCGCGGCTTCAGAAGCCGCTCTCGAAACAATATGGGAAACCGCAGCCGAAGCAACACTCAGCAAGGCGCCCGTGGCCAGAACGGAGGCCAGAACGGACAGCAGCAGCAGCAACAGCAGCAACATCACCAGTCTGGCCCTCCTCCCAACGCTCCCACCGAGCCGGCATCGCAGAACCCCAACGCTAAGAAGATTCGCAGTCTTCAGAAGAAGGTCAGAGCCATTGAAGACCTGGAGATGCGCCACGCCGGTGGTGAGAAACTGGAGGATACCCAGCTAAAGAAGATTCACACTAAGACATCTGTTCTGAAGGAGCTGGAGTCTCTTGGTGGTGAATCGTAGCCTGGTTTAGACTGGACTACACTGTGTGCATCCGAGAAGAGCGAGAGAGTTGCAGAAGTGGATGTGTTATTTTCTTTTTTTGCTTTGTGGAATTGGGCGTCCCATGGGCCGGCATTCTAAAGGCGATGGTTTTCACGGTATGAATACTTCGGACGAGGGCTATTACTGAGCGGGCCAGGTTTTTTTTTTCTTACAAAAAGAAAAAAAGGGATAGTGACTGAGGGACATAAGGATTTGGTTGGTTTTGTACACCACTTGCAACGCAACGTTTTTTTCTTGGACAAGGAAAAGGGAGATTTGCGCTTTGCATCCGAGCTCTCGGACCGCTGTTTGCCCCGAGATAAGAAACGATTATTAATGGTCGGTTTTAAAATAGTGATGGGAATCGAGCACTTTACGCCTGGTGGTGGTGTTCTTCTGAAGGAAAAAAAAACGTGCTGCCCTGGAGTTTTCTTTGTCAAGATCCGTGGGTTAGTACGTACGTCGACATAGTTGCCTGCCTGCTGGAATGGGGATGGGAGAAGGGGGGCAGAAATGATTGTTGGCAAATGTCGTGATGCATAATACAAAAAACTACATGTTGAGATTAAGATTTGGGTTTGTGCCTGTGTCTGTGTGGTGATGTTGAGTGTGGTGGTTTGAAATGATTTTGCTTGGGTACCTATGATGTGCTCAATGCGTCGTTGTAAATGCTAGCAGACGTGTATACATGTATAAATCCGCCATATAATACAACAAAATATCAATTGATACAGTCACAACTTATCAACCAGTCAAATACCACCTTTGAAGTCGGCCATCGGACTCATTAAATGCCCATTCGGAAGGCCATGCGAATGCCAGCCGGGACTCGGGGCGACGATCCCTTCTATTTCCCCCCTTCAGCTTTCCCATCAAAACCATGACGGCGTCTCACTCCAGCAAATTCTCCCAACGAGCTTAAACCGTAATAAGATTCTGCTTATCTGTCACCCGCTTCATCTCGCTGCATGCGGCCAATCAAGCTTAAACCCTTTGCCACACCCGCCACACTTTCTTACTCCTGGAGGATCAACCAAGTCGGCCGAAGGATTCTTGATATTGGCTTACATTTCATATGCTTAATTTCTTGCCTCTACGAAAGCGGTAACAAATCATTAAGAAA